CTGATATAACGCCATATACTAAAGCTAATGATAGAAAAGAATTCTGGAGTCGATCAGATAACCCAGCTGCTGACAAAGCTAATTTGAAAATGCTTTATGAACTTGGATGCTTAAAAGCTGATTTAAAAGATTCGGAGGGTTCGAATAATATTATTACTAATCATGAGCATGAAGATATTTTCTGGAATAGCTTTCGAAGTGCCTTAACATCTAATAAACGTGGGGGGAATGGAAAAACACAAGCCTTATCTATTATAGCAAACCAATTTGAATATTTACTATTACATGAAAAACTTCAGGTTAGTTAGAAATTAGCATTATAATTATAATCAAACCTTGCTAAATTCAACCTTTCTAAATGCAACTTTTAATTCTGGCCTAAAGATATATTCATTTTTTTTATTGCTTTCTAAATGCAAACTATCAAAAGTCCGGCCTTTATGAATTGCATTTAGAAAGGTTCGACTTACTAACAAATCACTTGCATCATAACTAGGTAAGTATGAATGCGATAAATTTGGCACAGAAACATTCTCGGTTATATAGACCTGGCGCACCACAAATTAAAGGACCAAAGAAACGTATTGAAAGAATGGCTGAAATTAAGGAAAAACAATTTTTAGCATTTTTTCAAGATAAAAATAATGTTGCACAAAGTTCTTATAAAATCGACACAAAAACTGGAATTCCTATCTTATATATGCAAGATCAAAAACAAGCCCTATAGACAAGATTCAATGAAGAGTACCTGAATGGAATGCGTTGAACTTCTTTTATGTCTAGATTAGCTGACTGTAATCATATTCGGTATCGTGAAGATTTGGGAGGGCTTTGCATTATCTGTAATGAATACGGGTTTGAAGTCTTTGAAAGTTTGTTAGCTCTCATATGACAAGTATTTACAACAAAAGAAACATTGGTAAGTTATCAAAAAAAAAACATCTTAGAATAAAGGGAACAGGTATTTCCACACCCGATTTTGGTATCTCCACACCTGTTAATTTATGATAATACCACGATATATGTTCCAAATACTCAACTCAAAAATTGAGTATAATTAACATTTTGTTTTGCTATAACTATAATACACTTTATTTAATACGCATACGATCAAAGGGTGTGGAAATACCAAAATCGGGTGTAGAAATACCTGTTTCCTAAATAAAGGATAAATAATAATAAAAAAATAAACAAATAAAT